CGACGAAGTCATCGAATTGCTGACGAGTGAGACCGAGCGGGACAGGCAGAACAAAATCCTCTTCCACCCCATCGTCACTTCCGTCATTGTTCTGTCCTCTTGATACGAATCCAGCTTTCTTAAAACAGTTCTGGATAGTCTCTCGGCTAATTTGGGACCAGGCCTGTCGCAGTAGGTGGAGCGCCTTCAAAACGTCGATAGACTTCGCACATTCCTCGATCGCTCTCCCTGATTCCAGGTCCCGCAGGAAGAGTCTCATGACTTGCGAACGATAGTGAGCTTTAGTTGCTCTGATAATCCCCTGATCCATGGGTTGGATCAAGGAGGTCGTGTTGGGTGGCATGAAGATCAACCGAATGTTCTTCAGAGTGACACTTGCTTCCAATTTATGACAAGTGGCGTTATCTGCGAAGAGTAAGATCTTCCGAGATCCTAGTTCTCTATCCCATTTTCGAAGGATATCTGACCAGATCCAGATCGTCATCCAAGCGTTCGTGCTGCTGTAGTACGGAATCGGTGCGGGACCGCGGGAGAAGCAACGAGGATTTTTGAATTTCCCGATCACAAAGATCATCTTGTCTGTCCCATCGCAATTCGACACAAAGAGGACAGTCAGACGATCCTTCTTAGACTTCCCTCCCGTGGGGTCGCTTCCTGAAACAGCGAGCGTTCCGGAAGGTGTCGCCTTGAAAAACAGCCCAGATTCATCAGCGTTGTAAATCTGGTCCGGGGCGTATCCTTCGATTATGGCGGGGTAAACATGGTCCATCCATTCATTTGCTGATTCGTGATCCGCCGCTGCTCTCTCGCCATTCACCTTGAAGTACCGAATGTTATGGCGCTTCTTGAAGCGATGCACCCAGCCATTCGTGGCGCTGAAGCTGTAGTGACCGAGCTCGGTTGCGATTTCTTCGGCTTTTTCCTTCAGTATCACGCCGCTGATTGGAGCTCCTTTGGCTCGCATCTCAACGAACCACATGAAAAGAGCTTCGCTGACCTCTTCCATTGGGGAAGTTCGCTTACGTTTCCGATTCGCATTCTTGTTCTCCAGGGATTCGAGTCGGAGATTACACTCATCTTTCTTTATCTTGAAGATGGTCGACTTTCCGATGCCAAACTCTTTGACTGCACTGTCAATGGTATTCGATTTCAAAAAGTCTAACACCGAAACCTTTTCAAGCGAGGAGAGTGTTTTGCGCGACATTCCGACCGCTGTCGTCGGGGCACCATGGAATCTAAAGCGAAATCACGCGACTGACCGGAAACATTAGAGCGCGATTCGCTTTCGTCGAAGAACGTGCATTTGACGTTCCCTTCGTCGTTCTGGCTATACCACAACAATCGTCCGAAGATGAGAACAGCATTCCGAGATGAGACTTGATCTCTTATGAGCGAATGGAAGTCTGGATGGTGCGGGCGACGACCCTCTTTTAAGCGAGTTTCTCTAACAAGCGAGTCTCTTTTAGGCGGATTCTTCAGCATGGGAGTCTATGGGCTCGAAAACTGGTGAATCTCGTCGGTCTCCTATATGTGCGATTCTCTTATGAGCGTATCTCTTATAGACGGGTCCGACTGTACTGCACTCAAATTTTGAATGCTGGTTCTATCCATAAAACTCTTCACATCTCACCCTACGAAATCATCTATGGAAAGAAACCGTATCTGGGAAAAATACACCCATTTGGAACGGAATGCTTCTACTACGACCAGAGTCTGGACAGAAACAAGCTGGACCCTAGAGGTAAGCCTGGCGTCCCCGTAGGGCTTGGCGACGATGTTGATGGTTTTCGCATCTGGATCCCAGGAACCACCCAGATCAAGCGAACCAAAGACGTTGTATTCCCGAAAGGAAATCTCTTCGAATCCGCTGGTAAAGTACCACTCTCGAAACAAAGTACTAGTACTCAT